GTGTGTGTGTGTGACCTGCCAAATCTATGCCTCTAGCACTTGTAACTGCATGTAATTGTTCATCACAAGCAACGCATGTACATGCGCATATATACTTACACAACGATCCATGAAACAAAATAAATTGCACACGCTTCAGCCTGCAGGAATGTCGGCAGTACAAAGTGACAATGCAAGACCGAGAGGAGAACCGACGTGAGGGTTGGGTTCACAGGTCAATGACATTGAAGGACCGTGCTTCGTCTCCGACCAGCAGTTCCGACTCTGGGGGCAGGAGGAGGAGACCACGACAGCGACAGGTAGGGTTGGGGCGTTTCCGGCCAATTTGTCCAGTTGTCCACACTGCCACTGAACAAGGTGACTGGGTCTGGGGATATCTTTTTTCATTTTCATGCTTTTGTGTTCAATTTGGGGTATACGGAAAAATGGGCAGAGGTTTGGTATAGTGGTCAACCTGATTTGTGGGTTCTCGGACACCGACATCGGAAAAGTCCCAGCCCCCATACCAGCGTCGTCAAGGTCGAGCTACGCACGGATCATGATGTAGATCCCAATGTAGATCAAGGCAACAAATGGACTGCCAAGCCATTGCGCCTAGTCAGTTTCTGTCTGTCCAGGATAGAAGCTCACATTTTTTGTCCAAATGAAGGTGGGAACGTGTTGCCCGCAACTGGTCCTCAACCCTCCAACCATCTCCAACCGCGGACCGCAAACTTCACTGCAGGTGAAGGGTAAGAAGGATCATCGCAACAAGGACGAGAACACGGAACAAAAGGCTGCCACGGCTTTGCTTAAGAAGATTGACAAGGTGAGGGGTTGTCCGTTTCTCCACAACCTCGCATGAAGCTGCGATGGGAGTCAAATTGAAACCAAAGCTAGCTGGTTATATCTAATGCCGTTCTGGTTGCTTTAATTTGAAGCCCATCTCCATGCCCCACCACACCTGGCGTCAGGCTGTCAAGAGTGCTGACAAGTCGCTCGATGATGCTCGCAACGTTGATCTTTCTAACTTTGGGCACCTCAGTCCGCAGATTCATGACTTGCGGTCAATTGTCAGCGGTGCTCTTTATGTATGGGAGAGGCCCCATTATATACCCTAGCGTCGTGGGGCTAAGGGATGAGAACATGAAGAAGGCTTTCATGGCAGGCCTCACTTCGGCTGGAGATACCGTTTTGCAACACAAAGCCGATTTGATGGACATGGATGTCAACAAGGCCTATAGCAGTATAGTGCACAGGGAAAAGCGTGTAACCTTCATATACAGAACGTTCGATTTATTTCAGATCCTGTGCTGACGCCATCTCTTGGCAGGAGAGCAATGCCGATATCACCGTGGGTATCACGACCCTGTCTGATGCCGTGTCTGCGTTGGGTGGGTTGATGAAGTCAGCCACCAAGCGCAAGGCCCCCAAGGAGACTGAACCAAAGCCAAAGGCCAAAAAGGCTCCCAAAAGGGCAAAATAGCATCTTCTTAGATTGTCGGGCACTGGTGCTGGTTTCAACTCTGATCTTTTTGAACTCTTTTGGATCGAGGTATCCCAAAACACTCATAAACAGTCTGCTGAAATATTGTTGTCATTGTACTTGTACTCAATGCCACCGAGTTTCCGGACTTGAATCACCAAGCTTTTGAACCACCAGATCGAGATTGTTTCTGTGAACCGCCTGTGGCCACACGGGGGAGAATGTGCAAAGCAGGCTTAGAACATGGCAGCAAGGATCTGGCATCTACGTCTAGATTGCGATAGCTCCGCGGAAACAACACGCAATGGTGTGAAGATCTTGTTTGACGGAGCCAGCTGTTGGTGGTGATGGGGCCTCAAATAACCAAGGGTGAGCTCTGTATATATACCTTTCGTTGGGTCCTAGTGACGTGTGGGGCAGCGTGCCAGGTGAACAACAAAAAGACCATCGACGAGATCCGAGTTCATCATCTGCAGGAGCCCTTTTTGCCAACATCGTGTCCGAGCTTGGGGCTGGTGTGGGGTTCTCAACTGTTCGTGGGTAGATCATGGCACGCCTAATCAGAAAAAATGGTTGTGATCCTTACCAACTTTTCTTAACCCTCTCTTGCCCATAAGGCCTCCAGAATTGAAAAAGCGATGCGCGTGGCCAGTGCTGCTTGCAAGGACAGCAGCCAGCGCCATGTTGTGAAGCCAAGTCTATGTGGTGGGGTTGCTCCTAAATTAAGGTGACCTAGGTTGTGGTATGTTTGTCCCTGTTTGAATGCCCATTTCCGGTTTGCTGACGCAGGAGTCCCACACTTGCTTGGCTCCAGTTAGCGTGAAGCTGGGGAACTTTTCCAAATGGAACAGGTCCCGTGACTTCAATCGAACTGTTCGGCGTGGAGCGGGGGGGGCAAAATGTTGGGTTTTGTTCAATTAGGGCGGCCTACTGGCTGGCCTATAGAAATGATCAACAGTTTAATCGGTTTTTACGTACGTGTGTATTGAATACACGCAAGCTGGCTAGCGCCCACTAACATTGATGCGCAAGTATACTTGCTCCCACGCAGGACTTTACGTATGTAGAATGCCCGGTTCCGGAAGAGAATCAAAGGAATGGCACTACCAGCAAATGCCCATGTATGACCCGCATGCTGTCCTCAGCTACTTGTTTGATGATTGTGGCTTGCAAATTGATCAAGTCAAGGTTCGTAACTACTGGGCAGAGGCTGCAAGCCGAGGCTGCCCATGGGCTTTGGGAGAACCAGGTGACCGGGACGAGTGCGTGTACGATGAACGCCTCACAAAGGCCTATGGGATTTTTTGTCATTGCCCTTATGGCGCCCAAACTCAGCGAGAAATTCGCGCTTCCTGCTGTGGACAGCAAAGTCTTCTCAACTTGTGGCTTTGAAGGCTTGCAGCCAGTTCTAGAGCGAATGGTCTTCTCCCTGAACATGGCCTATGATGAACAGCTTCCAAAGAGTGGCGTGCGCTTCTGTGTTTGTGAAATTGGCGGCGATTGGTCTTGGAACCGGTTCTTTTGGCAAATGGCGTGCCATTGGAACAGCCATGCTCCGTGCCCTTTTTGTCCAGTCCAGAAGTTTGGGCCTACTGGCTATGGGCAACTACCGCCTATAGAGATGAGGTCCAATGTTGAGTTCATTAGCCAGGTAGTTGGCAGTGGACTTAACAGGAGAGTGAACCCCTTTGTGTTGCTCCGCAATTTTCACGTGTCGTTGATTGAGCCGTGCCAGCTTCACAACCTGAATTTAGGTTTACTGTGGACATCCAACGGAGGCGCAGTTGCAACTTTTGGTGAGTTGGGATACTTTGGTGATCCAACTGGGCAGCTATCACACGTGGTTGAGTGTGCTTGGGACGACTTCAAGGCTTTCTTGAAGCAGGAAGGCAGGTATTCCTCACAGAGCAAGTTCACGATCAAAATGATCTTTAAACAGACCCATGGCGCCTATTTTACTTCCAAGGGTCACAACGCCAGAGTCCTGGCTGATTGGCTTGCTGATTGTGCAATTCGTGCTTGGGAGGGCAATTTCGGTGGGGGAAGACTATTTGGGGCTTGGCTGGTGGAACGGCCACATTTGTTGCAACTGGCCCGACAGGATGAACAAATTCCTCTGCTTTGCTTTGCCTTGCAACTTGCTGTGTGTCTATGTTTTGATTTGTTTGAAGGATTGGGGGGGAAGCTGACCTTTTCTTTCCACGACTGCTCCCCAATCTTCAAACCAAGATCTTGTCTCTTAGGATTTCTGTGTCCCGCTACATGGCTGTGGAAGATCAATGTCCCCGCTTCTTGCGCCTAGATATGTGTTTAATGGATCCTCTTTTTCTTTGTCACTTTGCAATTGAATGTTTCCATCTATAAGCAATGATTTTCTCCCAGCAGGATCTCCCTAGGACTGAGCAGGAAGCTGCGGAGCTGTCTGGCTTGGGGCTTGACTTCCTCCGTGCGCACAAAAGCCTCACACAACTTTCTATGAGGACTCTTGGGGTTGAGGGCTGATCGATCATCGGTCGATATCGGTATGGGTCGTCTTTACGAGCTATATCGAGCTTAAAAATCTTGCAGGATGGCAAGGAAAAGGTGGCTGCTAAAGCCGAAGTTCCACGCGCCTTAGCGTGCATGGTATGGACTGATGAGTGTGCAGGACCTGCGTGTCCTGGCACTGCACTTTGCCCATCTGAGGCTTGGCATGAGCAAGTCCACCGGGTTTGCAAGTGGCGTCCCTTTGGCTGGATGTTCGGGTTGCTGGGGGAATGTTTTTGAGATTCAATCATGCCCTTGGAATCCTTGGCCTTGGACCACATCTAAGGTTACAACGCCCGCTACACAGCAGGATGGATTGATGAAGATGCAATGGGATTACTCAAGAAACTGGCCAAAAGAAGCCATGCTAGATTTTTTTCCAGTGGGGTGTTGAAACTGGCCGGCTACCGGCTGTTGGCCCTTAAGTTTCGTGTCAAGTTGCTGAACAGACAAGCGCATGCTCGCAAACAGTGAGGAGAAAAGCATGATGCCTTTCTGGAGAGAAGGGTGTTTTGTTCAATGGGCACTTTGTCATCTATAAAGCCCTCGGCGCATAGAATCCTCGGCACCTCAAAATCACTCGGCGTGTGGGATATTTTGGGCCTCAAAATCACTCGGCGCATAGAAACCTAGAACCTCGGAATTTTACCTTTTCAGGTCCTCTCGGCGAGGACCCTACTTTGTCAGGTCCTAGGACTCTGAGGGTATGTTAATATATTGCATATATACCGTAATATAATGTAATATACAATTGTAAGTTCCCCCAAGCAACGCAACCACCTAGGGTTTCTTCGTACGGGGCGACAGGAGTTGGTCTGGGATGCAAGCAATTCAAACAATGATATTGACATCGTCCATAGTATAATTACAATATATATAGTATGTATTATTGACAAGCAGCCTCCAATGCGCTCACCGTGCTGCAACATCAGCTGCACAGCTGGACTGAGCACCAATACGAGCCGACATCATTTGCTTAGCTGAAGACTTGCAATATCCTGCCGGCCAGATTTGGGCAGAAGTTCCTGGCTTTGTTACAGAATCTCGTCTGACACAGTTCGCAGGTACATGAGGAACCGTGAAAGGATGACGTCTCTTCCAAATTCAGTCTTGGTATGGACAAGACATTGTGGTTTAGTAGCATAACGATATTCCACCCAAGAATTTTGCGAAGTAACTAGTAGCAAGGGCCAGCTTGGAGCTACTTGCAGCATGTCATACCACAGGCTGGTCCAGTTGCATCATTTTGCACCTAATATTGAGTTTTAGTTTGTTTGACACCAAAGGTGCTTGCATTCCACCTTGCAAGACGGTAAACATGTACATACAGTATGTGGTTCCACCTCAACTGCCAAGCTACTGTCGAGGACGCAATTTTGCCATTGTTCATCGCAGCTGGCGTACGCATGCGGTTCCCAGTCGCTTGTACGGTATTTTTTCTGCACATGGCCGCTTGGAGAGCACATCGCTTGGATTGAAATTGAGTTTGTGATGGTGTTGCAAAAAGTTCACCATTGATTCCCTGAAGCTCAAAGGAAATTCGACAATGTGTTTTTGGATCAGAACACCATGCAAATGCTATAGTCTAGGAAAGTCATGCGTAACATAGCTATTGTATGCTATTGTCAGTGTAGCATTGGACCCTCAAAATAACCTATAGATGCACCTGAAACATGCTCTCCTGTGGGCATTGCGGACTTCCAGACGTGTTTCATTAAATGCAAATTGTTAGTGTTTTTTAGGCGGGATTGGCTTCAGATTCATCAAATTCAGTATTGAATATTGTTGCCCTGACCTGGATCAGGTTGTTTTGTCCGTGCACCACGCGTTTCTATTGAACAACACAACTTGCAGCGCGGTGGAAAACAAGTTCAAGGAAAGGGATGCGGCGGGCATTTGTGAATTGAAATTCAAGTGATGAATCAGATTGCAAAGCTGTCCACCACGTTGGGGATCGATTTGTCCCGGTGGCTATTCCAGACGTTTGCTTTTGATAGCTGTCCAAGGCACAGTTGGAAGCGGAATCACGACAGCCTTCATTTGCGACGATTATTTTCAACTCAGGGAAACTTGGTGTGTCAAATTTGACAACTTGTGTGCTGGTGCTGGATTTGGATTTTGCTTGATACTGTAATGTTTCCGTTCTTTCCTTTTCAATATACGTTGACCATCGTTGACCCACCCAGCTTCCGACTGCCATTGGCAGCCATGTTGCGTGCAGCTTACAGCATCATGCTGTAAGAGCTGCAGAACTGATGATTCGCAGCGCTAGCACCGCCATGACTGATGAGAACTGGACTTGTATAGCTTCGGGGCTAGACCGACCGAGTCTATGATGCATTAACGAAACATCCGTCACTTGAGGGTGAGTACTCCGTGGTGCAGTTTGGCAATGTGCTACTGGTCGGAGCATATGTCTATGTCTCAGAGCGCTTTGCACGTCACAACTTTGCTTGGGATGATTGGATCAGCTCTGCCCGGGGATCAGATCGAGATATTTTGAAGGGGACACTTGGCAGTTTTTGGTGGGATTTCGTTGAACAATTAGACAGAAGAAGATACTAGACATAATTGGGCCGTTCCAATAGGAACATCCTCGTAAGGTTGCACTTCTGAAGCTTTCAGTGTTGGACCACACGATAACTGTTTCATTGATTCCTGAATTGGGCAGGCACAGACAGTGGCACAGACAATCGTAGTTCAGTGTTTTGGAATTCAACAAATGAAACTTGCAAGTGGCCATGTCAGGTAGGTCGAGCTTACAATATGCTTTCTATATGTTTCCTGCGTTTCCACTATGTTTGATTTGATTTGTATGCATTTGCATAGATTCACTGAAAGGCTTGTGTTGGGAGTTTGGGATTGACTTGCATATGACAGAGACAGCAAGTAGTTATATGTTTTAAACACATCTTATGGTTAATTAAGTTTAAGGCTATCGACTTTGACCCTTCAGTGTATTGCCTCACTCAGCCCATGCCAGCTGCCCAGATACGCCCAATGTGACACCTGGCAAAACCAACCATTTGTAGTGTTTGGATGCAAAACAAAGGCATTTGATATTTGGAGGGGTGGCCCCATTGCCCCGTGCTGGATGTGCCACACGAGGCTCCATGGCCGGAAATTGTGACATTCGCCGCTGTCAGGATGTATCCTGAAGACGTGGTCGAAGCTGTATTCACGAGCTTCCGCAACAATCAGGGTGACACCATGGAACGTTCGGTCTCTTCCACGGAGACGATTTTCCAAGACCGTGGCCTTGTGAAGCTTGACAGCACTCCATCCAGCAGAAGGCTTTCAAGTTTGTTGGACCCCTTTGAATTGACAAAGGCTCAAGACTGTTTTGTTCGGCTTATTGTTGCCAATCCAAGCTCGTGCATCCACAACCTTTCCATGTGTGCCGTTGCCTCAAGGACAATTGTTTTCATTGATATCTACGATTTTGGAAAGGTGGTAGCAGGCTTGCATCCTGTAGATCTGGTTTTGATGCTGGATCGCGTGTTTACGCAAATGGACCTCGTGTGCCAGGACAGCCAAGAAGTATTCGTGCTCGGTCAGACAATCCCCACCAGTTTTGCATGTGCAGGAGCATGGCATTGTCAAAATCGAGACAGTGGGCAAGACATTCATGGCTGCAGGGACGCTTGCAAGATTGTTTAGCTTAGCTTTCTTTGGCCAGTGAAGGGGAATTCCATCTCTGCCAATTGTCGGCGTATTGCCCATGTTGGCATGGTGCAGGGGATACGGAGATCAAGTATATTTCATGTTGATCCGTTGCATCATCGCTTTGTATAGTGCGACTGATGCCACAAAGGTTGGGTGATACGTCGAAATCATCGAAGGGGAAATCCCAAGCATCACAAAAGACTGGAGGATGGGCCGTGAAATGCTACTCAGCTGTGTTAAAATGCCTACAATTTGTTTGTTCAGATTCCAGAGCAATTAAAGGAGTTATGGGAATTTAAGGCTTGGAGGTGGCTGTGGCCATTCTTCGGCAATTTACTAAATCGTCAACGGGTGTCTTGGACAAATGAAAATGGTCAAGTTAAATGTGATTGTATAGATCTTCAGATCTTCAACGAAGACAAACGCGCAGAATTCAGCGACTGATGAGCTGCTGAGGCATTGATGGCATGGAAAAGCTGTCCTTGAAAATCGGCCTCAATACAGGAAATGTGTGGGCACCCAGAGACCAAAGGGGACTGTCTTGTCCTTCAGACCGTGTGTTCCCACAAGTATTTGTACTGCCTTGTCCCAGAGATTGCTCATGGACCTCTTTAATGCCTTGTGACTGTCAAGAACTTGCGAGGCCATTGCTACTAGCAGCAAGAAGCTAGTAGGTTGGAGGCATTT